GTCTCTTCCGAGACCAGCCTGTTTCTAAGCAGCACCTAAAAATTTGGGCCGCACAATTCTGTACTGCTTATACCGAAACTCTCCCCTGCTCTACAAAAAGGTGTATAAAAAAAAAAAAAAACACACACAAAAACCCAACCAAAAAACACAACTAGGACAAAAGAGCCCCAAAACCCGGCCCAAAGGCGCCCGCAATAATGTAACACTGCAAAGGAGTCTTTTGAATCAATGTATTTCTGCTGATCTTTTTGAAATTAAGCCAGCTACAGCTACCCTTGTTAATATTTTTACAATCCATTTGCTTGTAAGTCTATCAGGAGATGTGCGTATGTCCCCCAACTATTTCCTAGATCTTCAGCAGATACGTAAATGGAACGATGTTTAGATTTTTCCTGACAGATGATAAAAAAATGCTCGTGCCATTTCAGTTCCAGGGCTTGGATAAATAACGCTCATAACCAGGATTTCTGTTTGTTTTCCTTTTCTAACCCACTTTCGAAAGCTTCCCTTTAAATCTGAACCAAAACTTAACCAAAAAAAAAAAAAAAACCCCAAAAAACCAATCCCCCCAAAAAACCCCTCCGTCCCAAAACTCGCATCAATAAAGGCTCCTGAAATGAAAAACAGGGAATTGCTCGCAATTGCTAAGAGCTCACCCCCTTTTTTGTACAGAAAACGACAGAATCACCTAATTGATCCTTCGGAGTGAAGAGTTTGTCAGGAGGCCTCTAATCCTCCTATTACTTTTCCAAACGTGCAACAAGAATGCGAGATTTTCACAACTGAGTAAAAGCAGAGTGCCTGGCCTTTTTCCTCTTTTTTTTTTAATTAATTAAAAAAAAAAAACCCACACCAAACTGGGAGGGGACACACACACACACACCCCCACCCCTCTCCCGGGACAAGGGAGCAACCGGCCCCTGGCTTTATTTTCTCTCCTTCACGTCCAACTGGGCCTACAAAACCCACGAAGCTCCACGTGCGGCCGCACAGCGATGCGCTCCGTGGCCGGCCCTGCGAGGAGAGGAGCGTATCGCCGTCCCTCCCGCAGCACCAGAACTGACAAAACCCAGGTTATTTTTTTCAGAGTTTAATTAGAGACACAAACTTTGGCC